CATTAAACCACAATACTTTAGCATGTTGTCAAAAGGAGCGTCATAATGTTTAAACATTCTACTTGCCAAAAGTTGAGTCGCTGAGCTTTTGTGGCTCCAGTGCTGTTGTGAGAGCAAAAGTATTGCACTATATGCAATAATATGCAAGAGTACTAAATACACCAGTGGGTTGAAATTATTAAATCTAATAAAGCAAATCTCCTTCCTATTGTTCTAGACTTCACTTATTATTTATTTACTTAGTAAACATTTTAAAAATCTTTTTTGCACTCGAAATGATAAACTAAGCTTGTTTAACAGCTGCAAAATAGACAACATTCAAATAAGAATCACACACTTGATTCAACATTTCTCTGAAACAGTTTTTAACACAAGACCATCTTTATAGGGCAGGATTTATTGCGCTGTTAGATAAGATTGCATTAGTTTCCCCAATTGCACCTAATAAACCGACAGTTTAGCACACATTTGTTCATACAAGTGGATTATTTATAATGTAAAATGTGAAATTATAACCTTTTAAAGTGTAATAATTCTGCTTTACAGTCCAATAAATATTTTATTGCCTTCATCAAAACCACAAGCCCAGCAAGCTGCACCACGAAGAGTTAGCACGTGAAACTCGTCTACAAATTGGACAGCGATAAAGAAAAACAAGTGTTTTAGGAAATAAAAATTTGATGAGTTTTGCGGCGATTGGTGTTATTAGTAATGTGCAGCAATGGGGTTCTTTGGGACAGTGGACACAGAGGAAATAAAGCTAATTGTGTACAAACTTAAACATAAGACATTGCACATAACACCTCTTTCTTTATGCTGCCTATAATAAATGGAACTGGTGTTAAAACAGTTGTTTTACAGAGTTGTGGTTTATTAAATTCATGCTGTGCTGCAAAACATTAATTTTACTTTGGATTGCAAAGAGACTGGAAATGCGAGGCTCAGTTTTGGATTAAATGATGCACAAAAATCCCTGTGTAGGAGCTGCAGAGCTTTTAAGCAATATGTGTGGGGTTTAGCTTGTAAACACCATGCAGCTTCGGTGCCAAGCAGGAACAAACTGACACAGATGATTTGTTGTTTTCTATAAACAGCATGTAGCCATAAAAGTTCTAAAAGATGATCAAACTAAGTCTTCTTTCTTGTGTTTAGCTTCTGTTTGAAGATTCTTCTTGCACCCAAAAGCCTTAATCTTGTGCCGTCTCTCCATCAGTCGTTTATTATTAACCATGATTAGTAAGCACAGCAGACAGCTGATCTGCATGGCGAACAAGCAGGGGATGTTTAAGCAAGAAGAATAATATTAAAAACAACTCCTTGTCTTTCCCTGCAGCTAACACTGTGCCGTACGAGGAGAATATTGCACAGTGAGCTGCAGTGATGAGCATTTCCTCCTGTTTCATGTTTAACCCTGCTCATTTCCCACAGTAAGAACGGCGGAAACACACAAGTGTGCACAGCAGCTCAGGGGGAAGATGACTGATGACTTGTTGTCATGATGTTTGGGATTGTGCCGACTCCGAGCCTCTTGGCTCACTGGAGCTGCGGCGCGTACGTTCGGCAGGCTGCTGTGGAAGGGTCCCGGTATTAGCGAGGCACTGCTTCATCGTCACACTGCTGAGCCTCGTGTGCACAGCGCCTTTGTCTGCGATGCCCCTTGCCATTTGCAGAGTAGTTGAATTGGATTTACGATGAGGCCACGCGTACCGTGACAGATTTCATATGATTCGACGATGGAGCAAAGACAATTATTAGAATTTCCTGCTGTGAGTGGATTAATTTCCTTTGTTTTGGACTGATATTCCCAGGACTGTGTGTGGGCGAAGCTGAACCTTTCATTTGACATCACAATTTTTCAAAAATGTCAATACTTGAAGAAAGCAGACATCCCCTATCAATCACACTGCCATCTTTCAATGGGTCAATGTGGTTCACTTCCATCAGCTCTCACCCTTTGTCTCCCGTTTCACTGTTTTCACCTACACTGAGTCTTTTTGCCCCTACACTGTTTTACAGCTCTATCACAACGCCAGATGAGCCTTTCACTCCATAAACCCAGGGACTGATTCCGGTCATCCTCTTCGCATTTAAGCTGTACTGCCTCCATTTACAAGTCTGGACCGCTACCGGGTTAATTCTGGGTTTTTATAAGGGTCGAGGCCTGACACATGATGAGACTCAACGTCATTGCACAAGTCTGTGTCAACATTGGCCACGGCATCATAATGTCAGCAGGGTTCAGGCCAAGCTGAGGAGCTAATCCAAGCACGGCCGGGCTGATCCCAGGACCTTGACTCCCTATTGACACACATCGGACCATGGACACAAAACAAATTAGCGTCAGTCAATATCTTCTCGCTCCTCCGGCATTCTGACAAAGCCACCAGGAGCTGCCATGTTTACCTCACCGGCAGGCAACAGTGGCACCGAGGCATGGGTGGGCTGTGGTGATTTTAGTTAGGGTGGGATTAACGGACATCAGTATAAATTGGATGGATCCGTATTATATATAATACTTTTCCAGTTTAGGACAGAGAGCTTCATTGGGGTGCATTTTTATTTGTCAAGGAATTTGTTTATTTATATTGCATTTCTCCATATCTTCTTTTCTTTATTTCTTTTTCCTTTTACATTTCTTTCATTCATTTCTCACTTTATTTTTTTCTGTCTTTCTCTCTTTTTTTGTTTCCGAAGATCTGTATTTGATTGCAAATCCACAAACTATATCAGGCTATTTTTAGGTCAAATATTCTTTATACACATTCCAATAACACATCAGTTCTGGTGTGTGGTCAAAACATGAAACTGGAAATATGTTGTTTGTTGCCGTTTGTTCCTTTTTTTTTTATTGAAAAAAAAAACAAACATTGTACTAGATCAACATATTTAAAAATTCCAAAAACATTGTTTTGTTATAATTTAGGTTCTGCCACATGTTTGCTATTTGAGCACCCTCCTGGCCATTCCTTATAAAGGCACTGCTGTTATAAGGATGGAAATTCCTTCTGTAAAGATAAAAAAAATGTGTATTTTTTAAATATTGTTTGCCTAAGTGTTTGTTTTGTGCAGAATAAAAGGAATGCATTAATTTAATGCTTATAAGTTGCTTCTGGTGGGTTGCTGGATGGAAGCAGTTCCGAAATATCAGCTAAAGATGTGTTATTGAACAAAATGTGCTACTTATGTAAAACAAAACCTCAAATTTGCCAAACAAATATGTGACTGGAATGTAAATAGATTGCCTTTATTGTACTATGAAATAAGCATGTTGTTTTAAATGTAATCTGGGGCATAAAGGGGGTATAACAGAATGAGGCTGCTGCCATTTTTTAAAATAGAAAAAAAAAAAGAAAAAAAAAGAGGTTGCTTGCACTTGTTTTTATTTTTCCCCTCCCTCCACCCCCATGCCCCCACCACTCTCTCTCTCTCTCCTCCCCCCACCCTCTTTCTGTAGCCTCTTCCCACCCCCTCCTCCCTCTGCTGAAAGCCATTACAGAAATACAATTTCTAATACCTCCGCACAGGTCTTCGATCGACTGCAAACAAATTTATATTCAGGCGGTAAACAGAAAGCTGCAGAGATTTATTTATTGAGTGCGGAGGAGAGAAACAAGCGAGCGCGTGAACCCTGGGTAACCTCCGAGCTGACACGAAGATGGATCCGCGCGCCATGCAAATGCACGGAGAGAGGGGGATATATTGCACTCAGTCATTCAGCACATCGCTGCCTGTAGAATCCCATTAACTCCCACAGCTGAGACCATATTTCTGCGTTGTAAGAGTGCGGTTAGGAGTTGTTCATTACGCTGAATTATTTTGTAATTACTACAAACTTAAAATACATAGAAAATATTCAAAGATTATATATATATATATATATATATATATATATATATATATATATATATATATATATATATATATATATATATATATATATATATGTTAGTGGTCCAAATTATTTATTCATTTATTATTATTATTATTATTATTATTATTATTATTATTATTATTATTATTATTATTATTATTATTTCTTTTACAACTGACACTATTTATCAATAGAGAGAATATTTAACATGTTCATTTAAACGGCTGAACTGAATAAGTCGTAACAATACATGCAGATTACAAGCAAGATTTGTGTCAACTTACTTTTCATTAGTCAGGCGAGGCATGGCTGAAAACAGACAAAGTTAAGTAAAAGCTGCTAATGAACAAATGCTTTAAAAGGTTGAGTGATTGAGGAAAAAAAACTTCTAAAATGCTAGAAATAAGTGTTTTTTTATACTAATATAAATACACTTTTAGTATATTTATAAAAAAAATAATTTAGATGTTTTAGGAATATTGTCACTTCCATTCAATGGATTTATTTATACAGATTTGAAAGTAGGTCAGAGTTGCACTTTGAAACTTACACTTGAATCTCTGTTCCATCCAATAGCTGCTCATCATGCCTTATGTATATTATATTATATTATATTATATTATATTATATTATATTATATTTTAACATTTAATGTCAGTCCAGTAATCCTATTTTTACATAATATATAGCAATGTTCTAATTTATTATTCCCTGTTGAAAGTGTTTTTTATTATTATTATTATTATTATTATTATTATTATTATTATTATTATTATTATTATTATTACATAATTCTATAAATAAATATTTTGTTTCTCTTGAACTTTTAAAATACCAGTTCCCTGACCTCTGAACCCATTACATGTTCCTTTCACATCTCACCCAGGAGTTTTTTTGTTTTTTTTTTTCCTAGCAGAACCATCGTATAGTTTTTTTTTCTTTCGTTTTTTTTTCCTTTTTTGTTCTTTCTTTTTTGTTCTTTTTCTGAAAAAGAGGTAGCGCATCTACATAATCCATTAGCTGCTTCAATGTGGTCTTATATCATGCTAATTTAGCTTTGAGGGGGGAAACGGCTCTTTTTTTATTGTTGCCGTGATAGATAATCTTTTTTCTTTTCTTTTCTTTTTTTTCTACAAAGATTTGGTCTGAAGCACAACTTCTTCTGAACGCTGACTGTTGATGGCGTCACCTCCTACCTGTCCGGACAGGTGAGGTGTTTGTGGAGGCCCCTTCGTGTTCGCTCATTGTCCTTTCAGGTCGTGCGCAGCTTTCTGCTCGCTCGTCCGGTTTCAGCGTCGTCTTCCCCCCTGATGACAGAGATGTCCGGCTATTGGCCGAGAACGAGAGGGCACGTCATCTCCATCAATCAGGGGGGACTGCATGGTTCTCCTCTGAGGAATGTCCTCGCTCCCTGCACGCCCCGTCCAGCCGCCTGACCGTGTGGCTCTGGACGCAAGAGAGGCCGGGCATGAACTGCACTCCCGTCCAATGATTATGCAGGGGAAAGGTGATAATGACATCCTATCAGGAGGGGAAAGCAGCCCCCAGCTCTTTGCAAAAGAGGTCACGGTGCTGGACCCGGGCGGCAGGTCTAATCCTGAACTCGAGGTGGACGCATCTCCTGGATTTTATTTGCCTCTGTGCGCCCCTTCGGACAACAGTGCGCCCCCCCTCCCTCTCCCACCACAATGTGGAGAGCCAGAGTGGCTCCCCACACCGGCCTCCCCGCACTCCTCCAGCGTCACCTGGAGGTGCGTGGCAAAGGGGTCGATCGCCGAGACGCATCACTGCTACTTTGGGTCACTTACAGAAGAACTTGGCTCCTCTTTTAACTCTGGAGCCGCGGAGGGATGCTTGGACTGTGGAGCTGCTTTGGACAACAGGAGCAACAAAACTTTTGAGTGGATGAGGGTGAAAAGAAGTCAACATCGAACAAGTAAGTTTTTTTTTTTTTTTTTTTCCTAAGAGATCATTGAGCGCGTTTAGAGTTTCTTTCTTCCACACACACGATAACTTTTACTGGTAGTCGAGAGCATTTTGCAAAAGTTTTAATCTTGAAATAAAACGAATTTTTCTCGAAAACAACTCCACCAAAAAAAAAAAAAAAAAAAAATGAAACTAACACGTTCAAAGTGCCAGCAGTAACTGTTCCAGGATACATTTGAATATGCGCACGGCTCAGTTACGATTTCCTTAACGGTTTCATGTGAGGTTGCTCATTGCTTTGCTCCACCTCCTGCTCCACGCAGACTGTACAGAAAGAGGGAGGGCGAGAGACAGAGAAAGGGCCTGCTCAGCCACAGTGTACATTCAGCCCAGAGAAGGTGATAAATTATTTACCCCGGCTCTTACTAACCAGCAGACTTTGAATAATGCAACACACCATCGCCTGTCCGGATTCACAGGAAGTTGAGTAAAACTTACTCTTGTAAGCTGGATTGCTCCCCAAGTATTGATTAGTTGTCTGTTTATAATGAAAGCCCTTGTGTATTGATTTCAGTTTGAAGCACCTTTACATGTGTCCACCTTTTTAACATAATTGCTGTCACAGATCATCATTTCATTGACTGATGAGTTCTGGGCAGAGAGCCCAAAGAAGAATACATATATCCCTCCCCACCCCCCCAAATCCCCTCCGGCCTTAGAAATACCCAATCAGGAACTAATGTGAAGAAATGTCTGAAATTTGTATGAGTGATGGGATCTCATATAGATCATTCACCTGATCAATAGTGTCACTTGACTGACTGGACACTGGACCTGGGTTGGGGTGTTATACATTTTTCCTTGAAGGGATATTTATACCAGTGGTGGTCTCTTTCTGCTGCAGCCCTGATGCTCAGCAACCAACTTTAGAACTCTTCTGAAAAGAAATGCAAGACATTTGCATTTGATTAACAAAAAAAAAAAGCACAAAACATATCTCCTCATGATCTTGTTGCGAGCTTTAAATTTATAACTTAGGGAGTAAAGCAGTTGATGTTGGAATTTATGAATTACTATGGATTGAGTCATACCAAGATTTTATGGGCCCTGAAGCAGATTTTAAATTGTGGAGCTCAATTTACAATATCTATTAAAAGGTAGTCTTATCATTTGATCTATGTTGCAGTTGTGTTGCAAGGCGTTAATTGTTAATTGTTTATTCATTTCTTTGCAGTTACAATGTGCACAAAACATAAATCAAACTGCAGAAAATGCTAAACTAGTCAGATTAAATTCGGACTGTTAGAATGAATGTCAAAACTAGGACTATTTTTCTGAGCATGACTCCTGCTTGAACATTTTTCAGTTATAGTAAAACCTTTAAATTCACATAAATGCCATGTTGTAAAGAATTGTATATAATGCTTAATGTTCTTTTAAACACAAGTACAAATTGGAAGTTTCACAATTTTGTGCCCAATCGATTACTTCACTCTCGCCTTGCACCAGTTCTGATTGTGGTGTACAATTCAAAATTTTCAACATCCAATTGACACAAATCAAAAGGGATTTTAGTCATTTAGCATCTTATCCACAGAACATTTTATGTAATTACAACTGGCAGTAATATAGAAAAAAATGTGTCCGGAAGAAAATACTTATTTTTTGGTTATATATTAATAAGTTTGCAGTTTAATTACTTGAAATCACCTCCAACTCTTACTACACAACAGACATGATTAAAATAGCATTATGAAATATGAATAACTTTGAAACTCTGAATGTTTCCCTGAATAAGATCTCAACTTGCATATGAGCCTGATTAAAATAAATAAATAAATTTAAAGTTTAGATTGTGAAAAATTACAAAAGCTTCCCTCAATTAAATACTGCAAATTTGAATTTTAAAGGTCTATTATTTGTGTTAGAGGTTCAGCATTTTTAGTAATCCATAGTGGTTTGAGATTTTATCTAAGAGTGCTTATGCTTTAGGCTGGCTCTGATTGTAGTGTGCTTTTTACATTTTGAGCTTTTAATCTAAATATTTTTTTCCACTTTTGGAACATCCGTATTAAAACTATGACAACCCTGGTGTCACAGAACATTTTGCCTCTGAGACACAAATAACTCCAGCAAAAACCATTGACCCCAGTTGATTTGAACAGACATTGAGTCAATGCCCCCTTCTGGCCCAGGTAACCCAAAACTGAATCTTTGCTTGCGTATGCCTTGGGCTGGCTCTGATAATGTCATAACATTTCAATTTGGACTTCCAGCAAACTAAAATGAGAAATCACTTTAGCAGTTCCGTAACATGCATTTGTAAATATCCTTGTTAACTTTATGATGCACATCTTTTATTGCTGAACTTCTAGCCTCTGAGTCAAAACACCATAATGAACACAAAGTCAGGAAGGTGGTGGTACCAGCTATTTATTTCTTTATTTTTGATTAGTTTGCTTATGCTGAAATCTACATAGGGAAGAGGTAAAACCAGCAGAAAATATGTAACTGAACACTGAATTATGACAATTACTGGAAAACTGCAAATATTTTCTTTTTTTATTCTGCATAATCCCATCAATCAGGGTTGTCTTTTTTTGTTATAACCCTGCATAAATTTTCATTTTAAACTTGGAAAAATTGTAAGTCTTTAAACAAAAATGGAAAACATGTTTTTGTTTCCAGATCTATTTTCTCTTGTTAATCCCTGCTGACCAGGGGACAACAGTTGGGGAGTAGATTCCTTATACAGTTGACCCGGCATTGATTACAGTGTACATTTTATAATTTTGCTTCAAATAGACATAAATATTTATTTCTGTTTGAAATAAATATTAAACGTGTTTCAAATCACATAGAAATGTTTCTTTGCACGTTACTTAAAAATCTAACTTGACCAATAACTTACGATTATTTTTATGCTAAAATCCACAAAATTAAGTTTTCACTTACCTTTGATCCCAATTATCACAACCAGAAGTATAAATGTTGCTAATAAGCTTATTAAACAAAAGTATGGCAACATTAAAAGACCCTCAACAAAACATCTGCCACTTTTGGACAACTGGCTTCTGTCTTGTGACAACAAAGCTGAAATTATAGAAAGTGATCATCTTTAAATCAGACTTGATTTATGGAAATCATCTGAAGATCATCTATGTGGTGCTTTAAAAGTTCAATTTGGAGAACATGTGATTTAAACACTGTTAAATTCTCAAACAGTCCTAAAATTAGCATACTAATTTGATAACATGATATTTATTGTCAAATATTAGATTTTTGACAATAAACTCTTGAGAGAGATTTTATTTGTCAACCAGATCATGTTTTGGTCTGAAAGTCACTCTATCCTTCCATCATAAGAGCTGCTCTTCTGAACCAAGTCTGTGCACTTGGAAAAAAAAAAACATTTTTCTGTCAAACACCCACACACACACACAAAAAAAATATGACTGTTTTTGTAGTTTTGCTGGTATTTCTGCCCTCTTTCTGCATCTCTCTGATGGAGATGATCTGTAGGAGTAGCTCATTAGCACCGCCATGTAACTGGTAAAAAAAAACATCATCAGTGAAAGTGTGCTTTCCTTTAGAGGTTGCATTGGTTTTTGGCACAAAAGATAGTCTTGAATATATTCTTCCATGCTGAAAGGTCTCCACAGACCCGCTGTAACCTGATCTCCTGGCTTGGTGTATATACTCCCTGTGCGTCATTCTTCAATTATGCCTTGACAGCACCTGAATTACTGTGGGCTGGATGCCCAGATGACTGAGGCAATGTGTATTGATCTCTCCCCCTTTTCTCTTTTGCTCTCCTTAGCTTGAGAAGGGACCTTCCATTCTCTTTGCTGGTTGGCTATTTTAAGCATGCAAGTCATTCCTCAAATATTTAGTTTGATTCTTATATGCCTTCTGGCTGGCATCAATTCTATTATCTTTGCAGCCATTAATCAGAATGTGCATGCAATTTGCACTTTTGAGAGTTTGGGCTCTGAATTACTAACGGCGTCTGTGTATCGGTCACTCACATTCACTGCCTCCTGGTGCAACTTGGTTATCATCCCACATCTGTGTTTTAAAATATTTATTTTAAAACACAGATGTTGACATTTATCCCATAACTGACCTTTCCATCTGCTGTGCTATTGCAAGTGGCTGGAGGCCTGTTAACCTTCCCCTCAATGAAATGTGGTGGGAGGAATTACTCCACACCTGGCTACATTATGCAGCAGCAGCAGCAGCAGCAGCGTTTTCTCAGAAGCAAAAGACACACTGATGACAAGCCACAGTGTCAGCGGTGAAAAAATCAAAATATAGCTGCGGTGCTTGTCATTCATTGCAGATAAGTAGCACAGATGATACTTTAATGTGTAACCCAGAAACCTCAGAGGACACACACAAAAAAAGTGGGGGGCATTTGTCATTATGCAGCATTTGAACGGATTTGTATACTGTTAAACTGTCATTGACACAGAAAAAAAGCACCCAAAGGCAAATAACAAATGATTCAGATGAATACAGTTAATGGACTGTTAATGCAACACAGTTATGTGAATCACCCACCTTCCAATGCAGTGCAGTTTTCCTGCACAGTGGGATGATCTATTAATACATAATGCTAATAGCCTTGCAGTAAACGAGCACTGTCCATTCAAAGTTCTTGGATTTTCAAACTTCACTTGCGAAGCCTCCGACTCTGATCTTCCGCTTAGCAAGTTTCTTATCACGTGTTTTCTTTTGTGGGTTTTTTACGGCCACAGAAAGATTTTGTGATTTGCCTGTGGGCTGTGTGTAAAGTTGATAGTTCTCTGAAATACATCTTTGTCATACAGACAGAATTATAGCTCAAAGTGTGGAAACAAGCTGGCTCTGAGCCAGCGCCGCAAATCAGTTTTATATGATCTGAAGCCTGTTGGAAGCTGCCCCACCTCCACCCGCTATCTGTTAATCCTTTAATTATTTCTTCGATGTTTACTATTCCCAAAGAATGAAGTTTCATTTATTAGTATTATTATTAGCTACTACTATTTTTAGATTTCCATTCATTTTAGTGAAGTTTTAAAAGTATTTATTCACACTTTTCAAGTCTGTGCGTGCATAATTTATTTAAGTTCTTTGTTTGTTTGGGGTTTTTGTGTGTGTGTGTGTTTCCCGTCATTGATCGTGCTGACGACCGTTTTAATGCCCTCTGTTCCCAGGCAGGATGCACATGACCTGTGGTGGCTTCAGTGCGGGCCTCTGCGTGGAGGAGGTTGGAAGCCCGGCAGAGCGCAAAGCCGCGAACGGGGCCCCAAGGACTAGCTTCAGCACCAGGCAGCTGACCGAGCTGGAGAAGGAGTTCCACTTCAACAAGTATCTGACCCGGGCCAGGCGGGTGGAGGTGGCTGGCACCTTGCGGCTCAGTGAGACGCAGGTGAAGGTTTGGTTCCAAAACAGACGCATGAAGCAGAAGAAACTGCGGCGGGACCGGCTGCTCTCGGACGCCCGGCTTCCTCTGCAGGACGGGCCCGGCCAGGAGGACTGCACCTGTCCCTGAACTTCTGAACCGTACCCGAGCGTTAGAGAGCGACGGCTCCAGCCAGCCAGCAGATGTTTTGATTCGTGTTTGCATCGTTTGCAATCAGGCGTCACCTTTATTTGTTTACCGCGATGGATGCTGCACTCCCGACGAGCGCGATGGCAGGCTCCCTCCACGCAAGAACGGGTGCAAACGATTTGTCATTCACCCCGGCTTTCGACTTGAAACTCTGATTTGAATATTAAAATGAATGCCATTCCATTGCGCTCCAGTGTTCACAATGTAAACGAAGATACAAAGTTCTTTAATTGACCGTGGAAATCCTTGGGAGGCTATTTGATTATTTTGGACCATTTACCAGGAGTTGATTTTACTCGAGCATGGCCTGTTTTAATCTGCAGGAACCAGATCTTTCGTATAGATGCAAGCAAGCATATATATATATATATATATATATATATATATATATATATATATATATATATATATATATATATATATATATATATATATATATATATATATATATATATATATATAATCTGTTTGTTTGCAGATACTTTACGTGTGTACTGTGTTAGACTCGCAAAACTTGTTTAATATTTTCATTGTCCTGCGTCCACGCAAGATTAAAATGCAGTGATTGGAGGACAGATTTATCGACCGCACTCAGTATTCGCGTATCGATCCGTCGTGATCCATTCATTGGAGGGTCTAATCTGGGGAGCTTTCGCACGCATCTGTAACTGCATGTTAATGGAACGCGCAGAACGCCCCGATCGGGAGCTGTTCCGCTCTTTATCGCCTCTATATATGCATCAGAAAATGATAATTTGGACTTGAAAGCTCATGCGGGAAAAACAGACTATAAAAAGGGGGAGAAGGGGGGAATGAATGCCACTGCTGGTTTGCGGATCGACCAATAAACTGCACTGCTACCAGCACTTCCCGCAGCTCGATACTCCTCCCAGATTCGCATCTCATCTCGTGCAAAGTAAATGACTGTAAACACGCTCCTTAAACACTGTTGTGCTCCTGCTTTCACAATTCGTTTCATTCATGTTAATGTCTTTCATAATATCAAGCTATGAGCCGTCATCCACATTAATTCTCTGCGAGGGTACATTTTGATTAGCTTTCAATTAGCGTCTTTGCACTGGATATTATTGCTGCTAAATCCTAAATGAATCACAAGAGAGCAGTGGAGACTGGTTTGGAATAAGCCGGCATAAAATTAATAAAATATTTATTCATAACTTTGTCCAGGTTATCTAATGAATGACTCTGGTCACACATTGTTTTGGTGGGCACATGCAGGGGGCTGCAAGGCCAAGCAAATGTATGCAGTCACACCAGAGTTCAACTCTCACCTCCTGACCCTTATCTTGCCTCGGGACAGCACTGACCCGGTCAGTAGCTCCAGAAACGAAAGATGCTCCATTACTTTGGATGACCTCAGAGTCTGAGATTTTTTTTTTCTTTCATTCGACTTCTTTCAGCAAGTGACTCCCAGCCCTTTTGTTCTGATATATTGGTCTCTATGTCCACACAACAATATTTCATGGAGCTGAATAGCAGAAGGACCAGCCCATATGATAATTGTTCAAATTATAATTTCGAACCAAACTAGATGATGCATTTTCTCCACCTAGCACTAACCTAATTTTTTTGCCCTACATTGCTCATTTTAAGAGGCCAAAAAAAAATAAAAAATTACATCTGGCTCACTTTATAAATTGGATAAAATACTATCTTAACATGTTTGGTTTTCTAAATATAACTCATTAAACTAGTTTCAATGAGTTATAAAATTTCAGGTTGGAACTCTAAATAGGATTTGACACTTATAAAATGTGTAAGTATTTATTTAATAGACACTCACTACTTGCCATTGCCACCTAAATGATTTTTAAAAGTAAAAGAGGAAGTAAATGTTTATTCAAATGGCACATTTTACATATAAGATGACCTCAAAGTTGTTGTTTTTTATGATTGCAAAATTCACAAAAACCAAGTAATTTGTAAAAAAAAAAAAGCATTGTTGATTAAATAAATTATTACAACATCTAGTTTAGAAAAGAGACTAACATAAAATATATATACTGTCTGATTTAACAACTTAAAATTAAAATAAAACTTCATGAATTTTTAAAGTTAAGACAGAGCTCTTTTTCAACTTTCAAAATAATTTTATTTCAGAAATGTGGAATAAAGAAATATTAAGCTTAAAGGAGATTTAGTCACAAGACTGTGATTTAAAAATGTACGCCGTTTTCAAAATGTTCTAACTTTGCATTCACACAGGACTCGAGCAGCGTTGCACCTAATTTATTGCAGATTTGCATCTAGGCAAAACAAAAACCATTATGACTCCCTTTCTCTAAACAAAATAGGCTAAATTGGATTGTTTAACAAAACCTTCAATGATGTCCACTGTCCTTAAAGTCACCTGGAACACGTTGAAGATGAAGATAATGATGGTAACATTGGTGATACTATGATAATAATAATTTTGTAATTCTAAAAATAAAAACATGGCCTCTTATGTCCACTCTTGCTGCTGAGAAGTGTGGTTGGTCAACCTTTTCACTGAATCTTTCATCCTCTTCTGCAGACAGGTTTTCTTTGCCCCAGAGCCTTGTGGTTCCAATGTGCATAGAAAGCTGTTTGCAGCAGGTGTGCGGCGAGACTTCTTCTCAAATTCAGCCTTACTTCATCACCGTTTTAACAGATTCACTTAGAAATAGGAACCAAATATATGTGCATCATAAGGCAGGGTTGAAGGCGGCTGGAGAAAAAGAGTTGATTCCTTCTGGGTGAACCATCGCTCTAATTTCATTCTGAGGCAGCTTCAGCATTTGCGTCTTAACTGATGAAAAAGAAGAGCTGCGTTGTTTGCTCAGACCTGACATTTTGCTCGAACGCTCTTGAGTGCAACCCTGATGAATTTCTGCTTCCTCTGTAATTCCTCCCTAAAGATGTACGATTGGTTCAAGAGACTGACAACTGTGCTGTGCTGTAAGACACACACACACACACACGCATGCACACCCACACACACACAGACACCCCCCCCCACACACACACACACTTAGCACAAAAAGATGAGAGTAGAAGAAAAAAGGAATAACTCAGATTTAAAAGTGTTGCTGCTACAGGTAGAAACATTGCTGGCATTAAATAACTTACAATTTTTCCCAACTTTGTTTTCATCTTTCTCTCTTCGTGATGAAATCCACTTCAGAGATCTGTTCATCCAAATGATTTTTTACTAATCAGGAACAATCCCATAAATAATTACATGATTATCATTACTTTATCATTATAAAAAAAAATAAAATTCTGCATGCATCTTTTTGTGATAGACCATGAAGCACACAAGTGAGATAAGTGAATCCAGCAATGCATTGGTGCATGATGAATGGGGCTATTGACAATCCTCTATCCCTTTCTGTATCCTGTTGCAAGTTAGCTGATGTGGGCAGCTGGTATAATTCTCCAGAGGAGCGCAGACTGGCATGAGCAATGAGCAAACATATCTGCCTTTACAGAATGTCTCCCATTACGTTTTAAATGAATAAACAGAAGTTTCCCAGCTCATTGTAATTAATGCGAAGTTGACCCAAAATTAACTTAATGCATAATATGCATGTAATATCCTCGGCAGAGCTCAGGGGAGTGAAATCAATTGATCAGTCGAAGCCATTTCTAACTCAATGTGAAACACTTACAGATATATCTGTTGTTGTTACAGACATAGATCATTTGAATGCTCTCCATGCTTTTTTTTGTGTGTGTTGTTTTTTTTTTGGGGGGGGGCTCAGTTTTTTTCTGCTTGTCTGATTTTACTGTTTTTCCTTCATTTGCAAAAACTTTCACGCACTATTAGTCTTTCTGATCGGTCTCGTTCACATATTTGACTACCAAACAATTTGTGCATCAAGAAAGTTGAAATGCGGTGCACCTGTCTGCGTGAGTGTGTGCAAATACCCACTTGGGTGCCCTGTGTGTACAATTACACAAATGTGTGTTTTGTTTCTGAGGTGCTACTAATAAAGCGCTCAAAAGGATACAAAGCACCTATTTGAATGATTGTTTACGCACACACAAACATGTGCGTGCACATGCGCTCGCCTAAGCCATACATAACACAGTGTAACAGACCCCCCTCTCCTCTCCTCTTCTCTCAGTGGCATGCGCACCAGTCCAGTCCTTGCCTCCTCTCTTGCCTCCACTCCAGGGAGCAGATGTTTGGGGACAGCTTACAGCCTCAGCGAATTTCTGTGTACTCAGCAAACAGCAGCACTCAGCACTTCTGGTTGCAGAGGGAAATTTGCTCTTGGGGGTGTGGAGGTGGGATTGTGAGGCAGGGTGGGGCCTTGGAGTCAGTGAAAGGTGCCATGAGGATGGGAGGAGGGAGGAGAGAAGAGGAGAGGGCACACAGAGGTGAAACCGTGTTAAGGTTGTGATGGAGAAGACCTCCATTTTAACAGACATCAGTTTCTGTGGGCTTGAGTGGCACGCAGAAGCACGACTTCAGGAAGCTCAACCTCTCTTAGGTATCCTTTGTGACCTCTGTTTACTGACTTGTTTAGACTGACCTTTGAAATGTTGCAGACAAGCATAATTTAGAGAGAAAAGGGTGAGAAAAAAGAAACGCAATAAGCCCTTTTCAAGATTGCTGATTCTGCACTTGAGAGATAAGCTACAAGACAAAGCCATGCGACGCTAATGATGGCAATGGATTTTATGCAGCGAGAATCTGTAAAATAACACTGGATACCAAGCATTCACATTTTCTGGGCTTAATATCAACCATGTTACTTCACAGAATCGCATTAACCTAAGATGTTGTCTGCATGTGCATACCAATTTGACTGTTTGTGAGTCTGCCAGGAAAATTTCTAAACAACTACTAAACTCAGAAAAGCATAGGAACATACTATTTTTGATGCCACTGGATGACCCCTGACCATAAACTCAAAGGTTTACTCCACCCTTGAAGGATTGTTGAGTCACATTTGATGAAACAGACTTGTCTAACTTGAAACCAGCCAATGACATATCTTCAGCAATGACACATGAAAATCTTCTGGCTGAGAAGTATGTCAAGTACAAACTTGTTGTCAGCAGATATCAACATTTTTACAAGATACCATTGCTATGTTTTTAGTTATTTTTTTGAAAGTGAAACATTTAGCTTTTCCTATTGTAATGTTGCCTTGGCTGATGATGGCAAATCAAATGGGAATTTTTCCAAAATGCTATCATTCTGTAATGATAGCATTTTATTATGCTTTTCTAGGTCTCCTAGGAGTTTGGAAATTATCCAAATAAACTCTACAACTAGAACACTCGCTTTCCAGTGACATCACTCTTATAACCGATCTTCAACTTCTTAGACAAAATTGAACACACCCAA